ATTCGCTATCTTAACTTTTCATACAGATACTCACCACATTGGATCTTGGATGCAATGAAATCGGAGACGGAGGAATCCAATATCTTGCCAATGCTCTCATCAACAACAAGGTAAAACACCTTTTTCTATTCATCTCGTTCTTCATCATCTTGATTTTTCATACAGACGCTCATCATATTCAACCTCTCGAGCAATAAGATCGGAGACAAAGGGATGCATCATCTTGCCAATGCTCTGATGAATAATACGGTAAAACAGCATTCGCTACTTATGTTGCTCTTCATTATTTCAACTTTTCAATTAGACACTCACCACACTGCACCTTTCTGCCAATGAAATCGGAAACAAAGGAGCACAACATCTTGCCAATGCTCTGATGAACAACACGGTAAACGTCTGACATTCCACTCTTTTAATCTTTGTCTCGTTTTCTCATTTTCTCTACAACTCTGTTTTTTGCATCTCATTCTCAAAACAAAATAGACGTTAATGTAGTTTATTGTTCACAAAAATGAGATAAGAAAGACAACAAATAAAGAAATTTCAAAAGCCTAGCGAAAAGAGGAAAGAAGGAAAAAAGAGGCGAAGTGTAATGCTAGAGTAAAACATCACTCTCTGCTCATCTCGCCATATTCACTATCTTTAACTTACATACAGGCACTCACCACATTGCATCTTTCTGGCAATGAAATCGGACACGAAGGAGTACAACACCTTGCCAATGCTCTCACAGACAACACGGTAGAGCATTGTTCTCTACTCATCTCGCCATTCACTATCTTGACTTATCACACAGACACTCACCACACTGCATCTTTCTGGCAATGAAATCGGAGACAAAGGAGCACAACATCTTACCAATGCTCTCACGAACAACACTGTAAAACATTATTATCTACTGATCTCGCTATTGACCATTTTGATTTATTACACAGATACTCACCACACTGCATCTTTCTGATAATGAAATTGGACATGAGGGGGCGCAACATCTTGCTAATGCTCTGACAAACAACACGGTAAAGTATTATTCTCTACTCATCTCGCCATTCACCATCTTAACTTGTCACACAGACACTCACCACATTGAACCTCTGTGGCAATAAAATCGGAGACGAAGGGGCGCAACATCTTGCCAATGCTCTCACGAACAATACGGTAAAGCATGATTCTCAACTTATCTCGCCTTTCACTATCTTGACTTTTCGCACAGACACTCATCACACTGAACCTAACAGGCAATGGAATCGGACACGAAGGAGCACGATATCTTGCCAATGCTCTCGTCTACAACACTGTAAAACACCATTTTCTAGTCATTTTATACCTAGCTATCTTGAGTTTTCATTTAGACACTCATCACACTCAATCTTTCGATAAATGAAATTGGAGACGCAGGGGCACAGCATCTTGTCGATGTTCTCACCAACAATATGGTAAAACATTATTCGCTACTAATTTCGCTCTTCATCACATTAACTCTTCATTTAGAAACTCATCGAACTGCACATCTGGTCAAATGGAATCAGTAACAAAGCAATGCAGTACGCTGAGGAAATTCTGAAGGAAAAAAAATCGCTGGAAGTTTTCTGGTGATCACATCTGTTTTCGGATTGTCACCATTGTGTTTGTAAAATTTTCTCACAGCTATGTTTTTTTTGAAGTCTCTGATTTTTCAGTAAAGAAATCTCACGTTTTTTACAAGTGGTCTTATTATTGTGTTATTACACCGTACGCTACAGGATTCAGAGTTGAACTGTAAATATGACGTGTTAAAATGAAATCATGCAAGATTGAGCATTTAGACTCGTTTTACATAAGTGTGAACTTCGTCGTTTCGGCAGTAAGCGATTGTGATGAAGTCGTGATCATGTGGATACAGAAAGTGGTGTAGATGTGCGTATAGATATGGATATGAGTGTGTCATCATGAATGTTGATATGCGTGTACGTAGTATGCAGATATTGCTGCGACTGTAGATGTGAATGTGTGTGTAGATCTTCTCTTCACTCACACCTGACATCCATACTCTGTTGCATATCTTCTAAGAAGATTTTTACTCTTTCATCGGTTTTTTTCTTCGAAACTTAATGTTTTCTCAGATAAAAATAACATTTTCTCGTCAGCATCTATGTATACATTCTTAATTTTTTTTGCGAAATTGCACATTGGAACTGAAGAGTGTCTAACCGATGTTTTTTCAACATTAATCTATGTGCTAGAAAAAGGTGAAAAACGACTTTCCTCATCGAAAGACACGATGGGAGTTGGAAATTAAGATATTTGCAAATAATCACCACACGCAAACAGTCCAAATTTGTCAATTATGATTTGAAATCAGCTCGATTTATTTATAGTTTGTTCGATTTCTCTGCAAGACTTTGAGAAAATTATAATCAACCAAGATTCTAATATGTCGAGCACTAAAAACCGTTTTCATTTGAAGAAATGTATCCTGAGATGACATGGGACTCTACTTGTGAGTTTGCTTTTTATCTGGATGCAACATTTGAAAAGTATGCACTGACTGAAATACGTCAAAAAATTCATGTATCTGAAAAGTAAATATCAATCTTTACGAATAACGTAGTGAAATTTTTAATTAACACCTGTTAACGACAATGCATCGATGCGGACGTTTTATGGAAGGATGTTACATCGCAGTGTCTATTTTTTGCATCTCCGTGATTCGTGAAATACAATGACATTATTGAAGATGGGAGAAAGAATGAACAATTAGATTTTAAAAACAATGAGGTGTAAATCATATTACTGCATTAATTGTTGACTTAGAACAATTCAACAGTAGTAGTGAAGGTATTTTAATTCCTTATAAAAAGCTTAAAGAAATCATTCTTCTCCTTTCCTGTCTCTATTCTCGATCCTTTTAATGTCTAACCATCTACACATATATATGTCGTACGGAAATTACAACCTTTGACACCTCAGGGTGTTCAAGTTATTAAATATAATCTAAACAACAAATAATATAGTGTGATAAGAATAAATAAGAATTACCAAAACTATTCGACGAAAAAACTAGAGCATTGCATGATGTCAACATTTTTGATTTTTTTGTCATAAGATTCTAATGATATGATGTTCTGCACTTTGATGAAATTGATCCTTAAAGTCCAGTGTTCTAATTTGAAATAAGACTCAAACTAATCGTTGATGTAAAATAATTGTTTAACGTATAAACAAAATTAACTATCTTTGAGGTCACAGATTATGGCGAGGAGTGAAAAAGTGTTAGTTTAGTAGATTTAGTAATTTTTATTGTGTTTTAGAACTATTTTTATGAGTAAATGCTTAATTTGAATTTGAATGTTAATGAAAAATTTCAAAAAAAAAGCTTCCTCGAAGTGATAAAAGGTACTTGGCTGTTCATTTATGTTCGGACTTAGATTAAGCAACTCATGATTTTTATATCAACGCTGCACAGATAAAGTCCCTGGAATGCTTTAATAAAAGAACATATCAAGTTTACGTGAGAGACTTAATGAGATTATGATTAAATGGTGAGAAAGTGACAATGACGTGTGACGTGAGAAAATAATAGATTTCTGGAAGTCATTTGTAATTTATTTGATTTATTGAAAGGTCGAGACTTATCTTTAGATATTATATAGCAGATCCTAAGACAGAATTTATCCTCATTTTGTTATTAGATAGTTAAACAATCGTTAGAATTTTAATAAAATTTTGGCGGATATTAGAAAAATGTACTCCGGAAAGCTGTTGATGTTCAATTCTTCTCAATAATGTCTACATTATTTATTTATTCTTAAAAAATGAATTAGAATTATAGATTTTGTTTATAGTGTCATTAATCGAATGATTATCTTTTGTTGTTTAGATGATGTTTAATAAAATTTTGACAAAATTTTCTATCGAAGTTATAACTTTGGCCCGATATATATATATATATATATATAGACTCATGTCTTATTTGTATCTGTAGTTTATTGGCATATTTTCAAGAAAGTTAAAGAAATAAAGTTAGATTAAACCTTGACATTGTTCATCTCTGTTTTAGATGAATAAGAGAAATTTTTTCTTCTACATTAAAGTGTGCACTGTACTTAATATTCAAGCAAGGATTATTCATGATGAATTATGTTATGTTTGTGATGATAAAGATCTTTTTCTTAGGACATTTGAAAGATGATCTAAATGATTTCGTGAAAGTTGATAGGAAGTTGAAGACGAAGCACGAGCTAGTTCTTTCTATGTTTTAGTTTTGTTTCACCATTACTACTTTTTATATGCCCTAATATATATATAGACAGTTATGGATTAAAGGAGACGAGAAAAAAGAATAAAAACAAGAGAGAAGAAGAATGAAGACAAAATCAAGAAGAGAGTTCATATTGAAGACAATATAAACTAATTTAATCATCACACATCATAATCAAACAGGCCTTATGGTAATTTTATTATTATGATATTGGCTGAAAAATTATCAAATATCATAGAAAAAAAAGAACATTGTTTTTACTATCAGATTATATATATAGAGAAAATTTCTTCAAGCTTTTTATAAGAAATTACAACAGCTTTGTCACTACTTTTCAATTACCCTAAGTATATTATAAAAACAGACACTGAAGGGCATTTTCATCAGAAAAACGTAGATATTCCTATTTGCTTGTCTTTTCTTTCCTTCGACGGTCGGTTTTGTAATTAATTTTTACTGCCACTAACTCTATTTGACAAGAAATGAAGTTTTGTGACGTCTTCTACAAGCGGTATGTATTCGTCTGCTAACTATGCATTATGAAGCTCACTAATAAAGCCTTATTCTTTGATGTGTCAGATTTGAAAATATAACGCGTCGACCTTCCACCATTCCCCTGCATTCTTCTACAATGTGCACTTATACTACGTCATTTGAATAATGGTATGTTAAGAATAAGTCAAGCTTTGACTTCGTTATATTTCATACTATAAAAATAAGCAAGATACTGAAAATCTTTTTTCATATATCTTAACTAAACATGGGTTGTAATTCATCACGAATGATAAATGCATCGAGTTTATTAACAGCAGAACAGAGTCATTGTCTTGTTCGAGATACTTGGGCTGATGTGTGTAATAAATATTATGAAGAAGTTGGCATTAGTTTTATGGTTCAGTATGTGTTAAACTATGTTTTTTAATTAACTCAATCAAATATATATCTTTTTTTTTGTTTTCTAGAATTTTTCATGATTATCCTCAATTAAGAAAACTTTGGATTTTTGCTATTAATCTTGAAACGGAACAAGAAGTTCGAAATAATGCACAAGTACGTTATCATGCTGCAAAAATTATGTACACTCTTAACGAAATTATTAATAATATCGATGACTATGATAAACGACGTCGTATTCTCGAAGGTCTTGGTCAAATTCATTTTACGTATGATGTACAACCGACTTATTTTGAGGTAGATTTTATTCATGAATATGAATAAATATTTCAATTATCTTATTTGGAATAGGCAGCAAAATCTTCTATGGAGCATGTATTAAGCTCGATGCTAGGCAAAAATTTTACACATCGTCATAAACAAGCATGGACTTATTTTTTTCAGCAGATTGTTGTCGATTTGGGTAGAGGTGTCGAACAACAGGCAATTCTTGCTGGTAGTCTCAAGAAAGAAATCAAAACCATTACCGAACATCCGATATAGCTACTATCAAATCTTCTTTTGATTTTCAAAAATGTATTTGAAGATCGATGGAAAGAATCAAAAAAAATTACACGTTACGGTGTTTTTTTGTCAAGTTGAATAAAATCAAAAATAGTTTTTGAAACGAATTTTTAACATCAGGAAAATTGGTCGAAGAAGATATATTTGATGTGTATGTTAGTAAAGAGAAGGCTCGAAATCTAACACTAAATCCCACAATCCTTCACGTCGTTTCACTTCGTCAGATAAATAATGACTAATGATTGTTGACACTAGAAGTGAAACAAATGACCATCAATCTTTTGCATATCGCTGTTAGTTGTTTATCTTCATCGCTTCATTTTGATTTATTGATTGTATAAATATTCAAATCTGTCGGATCTTGTATTTCAAGACTAAGCCTTAAGCATCTTGAAACTAGTGAAAAATTGTTTTTTTTGAGTAAGAAACTTTAACTTTTGAATGGAACATATGTGGAAAAAAAACGTCGATTCATAGGTTTTCTCTTCTATCTTCCATGTATAGTTGATGATATACTCATCAAACAACGTTGAATGCTTCTTGTCATTGACATTACAACAAGTATCGTTGTGATTATAGACAACAGCATTGTTGCCGCAAAGTTCATTGAAGTATCAATAATAGACGGCGTGTTGAATAGCAACCCAGATGGATTCCAGTGGGTACGCATTTCTCGATCGTTCGCTTACAATGCTCATGCGTCGCCAAAGAGTTTCTCTGCATAGATAAGTGAAAATGAAGTTCGAGAAGGAATAAAGGTTTCGCAGATTTCTAAAAGTGGATGGTAATGATACTGAATCATTCAGTCATTCAGTTCACTCCGTGTAGATGTCTGCCAAAACAGGAATCAATATATCAAAGACCATTTTACGTACAACAACGGATCGGCGATGTTTTTAATGACTCTTAGGTTGCTCGTTTTACAGGTGTATGTCATCTTGTTTCTTTTGATATTGATTGATAGTCTCATGCTAGAGATTAAACAATGAAGCTTTCGCTAATACAGGGTGGCCCAAAAGTAACGTTACCTACAGGAAAAAAAAATTGAATATCTCCATTATGGCTCAAGCAAACGCGCTGATTTTTTTATCGCTAGTAAAAGTATGTTCACACTTCATATTCATAAAGACAAGGCCAGAGAGAATCTTTTTTACCTACCACTATTGAATTCAACAAAAAGATTTTTACTTTTTCAGCTACAGGAAAAAAACCAACATGCGTAACAAAGGGTCTCTCTAGGCATGTCTTTATGGATATAAAGCTTGAATATGTCTCTCTCATTGGTAAAAAAAATCAGCTCGTTTGCTAGAGCTGTAATGAAGATATTCAATTCGTTTTCGGCAACGTTACTTTTGAGCCACCCTATACGTAGTTAGGAAGGTGGCGAATAGTCATATGACTGATGAATTCGATGACACCAAAAAACATCTTCTCTTTAGTATTATTTCTACTTCGATCGGTATAATAAAACATTGTATGTCCAATTCACGGAATGCTCATCTTTTCATATTTATTTCTCTTTGTACATCAATTAAATGTAGAGATTACACTTCAAATTTTCTTATAATCTGTTATAAAAAATAATTCATTGCAAATAGTAAGAAAATTTCTAAAACTTTTGACAGCATGTGATTTAGGAGTCAGAGAAGAAAGTTTAAAATCTTCGAAGATCATAACAAATATAATTAGCATGGTTTCAGTACCAAATTTACTAGTCGAAAATAGAAAATACATCTACCTTCTCGTGACTGTTAGGTTGACTTTTCATAAATCTACACAGAAGTCCCTCGAAAATTCTTGCTATATCAAGATGTTCACAATTCACAGTCGCCCAATTTGTAACTTCAAGTAAATATTTTAGTATATTTATCTGAGGGATTAAAAGACATTTCAATGTTGCAATTATTAGTAGATGCACTTTCGATCAGTGGCATCAATATGCAATTTTGAAGAAGTAATGATTAAATCCAAGAATACTATGATATATTATAATCGACAACTAGAAAAAAAGAAAGAAGGATAATTATCATGTGTTTATTAAGAGCATCGACATATTTTTGTTACTCTACTAAACACCACTTTGATGAAAATTATAGAGATTAATACAAGTAAAATATTTTCAGTCTGAAACATATGTTTATAGAAATTTATCTCTAATAGTAAGTATCCCGCATAAGCAAGAAACTCCTCACTCTATTCTATTCAGATTAAGCCTAAATAATATTTTCGTGAAATATCAATGAATTTTAACATCGTTTTTGATGACTTCTAAATCTCATGCTAAAAAGAACATCTAGTTCTCGATCGATATTTTAAGATAAATGACAATATTGTAAATTTATTTTTCTTGATAAATAAATGAATATTAACCGATCATTTTTTTTTTGCACAAAGAAATATTATAATAGGATTTATCTGAAGTAGCAAATGCATTTTTTCAATCGTACTTCTAATTGTATATCCTTGATTTTTGAAATAATTATGTACTCCATTCGAGTACTCTAGAGTTGGCAACCTTTTTGCATAGAACCGATTACTTCGAAATCATAATACATCCATTAAAATGATAAATAATAAATCGATTCATTTTGTGTTTTGTTTTTTTTTTATTAATACATTCATCTCTATTCTAATTAATAATAGATAGCATTCATATTCAAATCTTTGTATAAATTTTTTTCTTATGATAAAACAAAAAAAAACATCATATTTCATATACTATTAAATATCCAAGTGAAAGAAATATTTTCCGAATATTATATATTCCTCATGGATTGAATTTTCTGAGAATTTAAAATATTAGTATTAATATAGATTTAAGTTATTTTATATATTCAAAAACACAAAATTTTTCAAATAAATATGATATAATTTACTTTATCAAAAATAAATTTACAATAATCAACGAAGAAATATAAATAGAAAAGTTTAAAAATTTGTCTGTTTCTTTAAATTATTTAATGTTAAATTCCCTGTATTACTATTACTTGATATACCTAATACTTGTCGTAAACGTGTTAATGGTCTTATATGTTGTTTTCGTGCTTGTTCCATATAAACCATAGCTTTAAATGCTCGAACATCATTATCATCAACATCACATGCAAAACGTCTTGATTCTAAACGACCTTTTTCATTAGTTATAATTGTACTTGATGGAAGATCAACTGTTGAACTTGTCCATTGTCGATATATAGGTATAGATAAATAAGTTGTATTATATTCTAATGATGTTCGATTTTGTCTATGAAAAAATTTTTTTGTTGATAAAAATCGTTTTCGTAATTCATCTTTATTTGATAAATCTACACTAGATGGATATGAACGAGCATTTATTTCTGATTCAATTAAATTTAAATCAATAGGATTTTGAAGAAAAGCAGCACCTGCTGATGAACTACGTCGAAGTAATGATGATGATAATGGTGGTGTAAGTTGATTAATTGTTATAGGTTTTAAAGAGAAATGTGTATCTGTTAATATTGGTAATGAATTTGTTGGTGTTGATGATGATGATGATGATATTAATGATAAACGATTAATTGTTTGTTCAAGAAAACGAATACGATCAATAAGAAGTGTATTAAAATTTGTTAATAATTCTTCACGAAGTAAAGCTAAATGTAATTGTGTTTCTTTTTTAATACATAAATCATTTCTACAACATCCATTTGCCATTTTTAATTCAATGATTTGAAACAAAAGTCGTTTAATGCAATGACGAATGTTCAATAACTATGAAAATTATTCTCTCTTCGTTTGTATGCGTGTATATATATATGATAGTAGATTCTAATAATATAGACGAGCAAAAGAAAAGTGCAATTAAGAGTGATCCCAAGTAAGACGACACTGTGGAAGAAATGGAAAAGATGTCAAAAAAAAAAAGAAGAAAAGAGAGAGAGAGATAATGGTTTTGATTGAATCAGTCGTAGTGTTGGAACGCTTCTTCTATAGTTTGTCGTTTCTTTCCACTTACTACGTATGTTATATTAAAGTACATGTTATTTGTGTCGCGCATTCGCAAACACAAACATCTTAACGGCTGTAAATAACATTATTTTCTCTTCTTGTCTATCTATATTTCTTTTTTTCTATTCAAGTAATGAACATTACAATGATAGTGAACTTTGTTCTTTATCTTAAAAAGATCCAAAATAAAATTAATGTATATATATATATATATATGATCTGTCATTCTGATGATTAGTATTGACTTTTACTTAAGTAAGAAAAAAAAAACAACAACAAGAAGATAATAGTTATTAAAGTATTTTTGACATGCAATGTAAAGATTGAGATGATGCTAGAAGACATGGATCAAGTTTCTTTTTTTTTTCTAAAGAAAAATATGCAGACATATATATATTTACTTGAATCTTTTATGAATAAAAAATAAAGAAAAAGAAAAAAATGATTATGAAATATAAATAATCATTTTAAGATTTAGTCTTGTTGCATTGTATTAGAAATCTCTTGTGATATTGAACATTGATGAAATTCAAGTTCATTAACAATTGTTTGATAAAATTTCAATTGAGTATTATAATCATTTGTTATTAAATCGTTTCTTGTTGCTGTTGTAATCATTGATGGTTGTGTGGAATCAAGTATTTTAAGTATATTTTCATTTGTACAATGATTATTTGTTGTTCCTATTGTTTTTTTATTCTTTTCAAATTCATCAATATCAGCACGTAAAAGTGCACATTGAGATTTAACTCGTATGGGTAATGAATCATCATTGCCATTGGTTATATATGCCATGAAAATTCGCTGTAAGAAAAAAAACAACAACAACATAATTTTAAATTTTCATTTATTTTATAAAAGAATTTCAAAAATTTCTTTTTTTTTTCTAAAGCATATAGAATAATCATTTCAATGAAGAATCAAAACAATAGATGACAGAACATCTATTATAGAATGGATCATAAATCTTTTTATTATGAGCGTGTGATTTTGCCGCAACTACATCCGAAAGAAACCGGATGCGATTTTTTATTGATAATTCGATCTACATATTTTTAGATTTCCTAGATATTCACTAAAATTTGTGTAGTAAAAATTCTTTTTTTGAGAACATGAATCATTTTCATTAATTTGATTTTTGACTCAAAAAAAAAAGTTGTGAAAATGAAAGATTTCAACTCTTCACTTTGATAGTTTTTAATGTAACAAATAAAATCATAAGTCATTCTTTCAAAATGCTATTAGTATTCCAGTATATTGTCTAGATATTTTTCAATATATCCTATAATTTAATACATATATATATATTTCAACTAACCATCAGCTGAACTTTAAGTAAATGACTACATTGATATTCATTTCCATATTTTACAATTAATTGTATAATAAGATCATTTATATTAATACTACGTGATTGTCGTTGTCTTAATGAATCAATTAAATTTAAACATCCAATATGAAATGAAATTGAATTTGAATTTGTTTCAATTGAATTTATTAATATATAATCTAATAATCTACTAAGATCATTATCATCTAATATATTTGAATGTATAGTAAAAACATTTAATAATTCTAAACGTATATCATTTGCTGTTTGTTCATCTAATAGAATAAATATTTGTGTTAATTGACCAAGTAAACATTTAAAAATTTCATTTGTATTATTTATAATTAAATATGATAAAAGACGTAAAATAATTATAAAATTTAAAGATGTTAATTCCGTTATATATGTTAATGATAAAAATTGTTGTATAGAATAAATACATGTATCAATTGTATATTGTATTTGATTTATATTTAAATCTTTATTAAATAAACGTATAAATATATAAAGATGTTCAATATTTGTTGGATATATATATGATAAATTTATTGAATTAATTATTGGTTCTTTTAATTTATTTGTTTTTATAAATAAATATAAATCATATATTGAATGAAATATATTTGATGATAGAAATAAATCATATGTATAAAATTTTATTTTTTCTATATTTGGTATTGTTAATAAATAATTAATTAAATTTATATGTATATTAAGATGAAAAAGTTCAGCAAGAAATAAACCAAATAAATATTGATATGGATTTAATTGATTATATAAATACCATGATTGTATTATTAATTCACTAGATAATTGAATTGATGTTAATATAATTGATGAATTTTCATTTGATATTTGTATAAGTTTAAACATTGATGATAGAATTGTTTGCATTGAATTATAATTAAATAATTTCATTAATATTGAATATGTTTTATCATATAGACAATCATCATATTTAACTTGTATTTTATTAAATAATCTTGGAAGAAGTGCTGGTAAAATAAGTTGTATACGACATTGATCAATTAAATTAAATAAATAAGAAATTAAATGATGTATAAGATATATTGATATATTATCATCATTGAATTGTTTAGTTAAATTTAAATCAAATGCTTCAATTACACGAAAAAGTATAATTAATGATGCATATTTATATTTATTAGATGATAATTCATAAAATAATTCATTAAAAAACATTTTTGATGAATTTTTTAATGAATAAAATATAAAATTTTGTAAAATTTCTTGTAATAATATTGTATTACTAAAAAATTCTTCTTGAAAATTCTTTTGTTGACATGTTGTTTCAAGACATATATGTATTTGATATATTGTATGAAGAAAATCTTGATAACTTTCTATTTGAGATATTGTATTATTGTATTGAACTAATTTACATAACATTTGAAAATAAATTCCATACATCTAACAAAATTATTAAACAAAAAAAAAAAAAAAGAAACCTATTATTTTCGATACAAGAGCGATCATAATGAGTTTATTTTTTTGAATGCAATTACTACTCAGTAATAAGCGAAGTAACTGGACGTTTTTTTTTTCAAAGTATTCATAGCTTATTAGAGTCTATATAATACACATAGTTTCAATTTGAAACTGATTAATCAATTGAAGAACTTCTCTTTTAAGTCAAAAATTGGTACACAAGAGAATTTGATAATGTATGCAATATTAGATAGAGGAAATTGCCCTTTTAAAAATCTATATATATCCTGTTCCTGGTACAAAACTTTATAGTTGTCTTTTAAGATAAAATTTATTGGAATGTGCTTTCTTGGTAAATATTTTCTCGTTTTTTCTAAATCAAACAAAAAGTTAGTCTATATTGGATTGTCATGTATTATTTTGAATTATCAAGCGTAAGATGAATCTTTCGTTAATATATATGCAAATAGTATGTCAATGGAATGCACATTGTTGAAATGATAATCTAACAATATTCTAACTGCAAATGTTAATGAAGTACTGTTACTATTTAGATAATAGATGAAAAATAAATAATCTGATTGACTATATTCGAGCATCTAGAGATCTAAAAGAATAAATAACAAATTACCTTAATAGTTGGTGATTCTCCTTTATTATCTAATTTATCTGGTAAATTCCTTGAAGAAATAGTAGCCATTCGTTGTAATATACTTCCATAGACAGCAATGATTAAGCCATCATTAATATCTTCAATTTGTTGTTGTTGTGATTGTTGTTCATCATTACCTGTTAATAATTTAACAATAAGTTTATGACAAATTAATGTTGTAAGAATATCTATATTAGCTATTGAATCTGAGACAATACGTAATTGTTCACAAAAATGTCTTTGTTGTGTTGATTTCATTAAAATTATACTAAGTTGAGATGATTTAATAAATCCTTTTATTTGATTATATAATGTTTTTGTCATTGTTATTAATGTTGTAAGTTTATCACGTGTTAAATATGAACCTAATATAATTATATCAGATTTTTCTGTACAAATTTTTGATAATGATATAATTGTATGAAGAAGTGTTGGAAGAATAATTGCAATTGATGTTGAATTTGATGAAGAAATAAGATAATTTAAATGATTTGAACATTCATTAAGAAGAGATTCAAGATTATTTAATGTTTGTTCATCATGTATACGTGTTGTATGAAGATTTTGAAGACGTTGTTCAAGATCATTAACAATAATAGATGCTGTTCGAGGACTAGATTCCATCAATAAATTTCGATATCAAATGATTTATTCTTGTATTTATTTCTATTCTTTTATTTGCCACGTGTGTATGTTTACACTATTTATAACTATTAGATAAATAGAAAAGAAAATTATATGTGTAGAATAGTAAAATATATCGATAGTCATCTGTGTTATGATGATTTTCTTTTCCTTTCGATTTAGTCATTTGAAAATTGTATTAAAATAAAGATAATGTTGACTTTTTTTGTAATTTTAAATTCAAATAATATTCTTTAAAAATGATTATAAGGTTTGGATAATGCAAAAATCGAGTAAATTTCTTCATACTCATTTATATACAATTCAATAGAGTACGAAAAGTTAGTCAGAGATATATTATTTTTAAATCGATTGAAAATGTTGTTCGATATGAATCTATCGAATAAAAATCATTCAAAGATACTTTTTTGATATCTGTAGATCATTTTGGAAGTTTTTCTAAATTTTATATTAAAAAATGACAAAAGTTTCAAGGCTGATAGATTTTGATAAGTAGAGCAAAAGTTATCCTAGACTCAAAATTCCCAGATATTTCCTTCAAGAAGATATGCGGATCGCAAAGGTCAGAAATTTCTTCCGTTCAAAACCCGATACTTCATTTTTTCGAGCTGCAATTTCTTTATGATAAATCGGAGTGCGCATATTTTTTTTTAAATTATCGCTCCTAGACCTCAGGAGAAGCAAAATACTGGAAGCACCATCAAAAAATTTGTTTTTTTTATCACTAGTACTAATTATTTAAAGGTTGCCGAATTTCGTAGGAACAATATTTCGAATAAAAAAAAAATTGATTTTAACATCCCGAAATGGGAAAGGTTCCTTTAAGCGATAGGGTCAAGTATCGTATTTCATTAGAATCTCTAGACATTAACCTTCAAGCGTATCCTATTAGTTTTATTTATTTTCTTTTCATAATTTATTATTATTAGGCTAATCATTGATTTAAGCCTATTGTATACATTCGTTATCTATCTACAGAAGATCTTAATGATCTATTATTTTTGAACTGTTTTTACATACCTTGCGAATCTTTTACTTTTTTTGTTTCTCAAAAACATGGACCATTATTTCTGATCAATTTTTCGTACTTTATCGAATGGTATATACAGAAGAGAGAAAAAATTTACTCAATTTTTGCATTATGCACACTTTGTCTATTTATAATTTTAAAGAAACAAAAAAAAAAGCGGTCATGGTAATGGTTAATGGGAGTTTATACTTGCGCAAAGATAAGCATCAACCTTCGGACCACATATTCTTACAGTTTTATATTTATCATTTATATATACTATCACTTGAAGTTATGCAATAACATTTGAAGAGTGGATATTGAGGAATTAAACAATAACTTAAACATCTTCCAATCATATTTGATTTCATTTTTATTTAAATAAAAAAAAAAAGAAGTTTTTCAATAATGAAGATGTCATATGTGTATAATTTGTATCCTTCTATTATGAAAATTAGCATCGTTCCTTCAAACAGACGGAATCTTCTAATTCCGGGCTAGGTTTTTACTGACATTTATCTAAAAAATCAAAACGAAAAAAAAAACAAGAATTTCAATTTAAAATACTTAGGGTTATCCAAAAGTAGTGAGCCTGATATTGTGTTTTGGTATAGATCGCTTGGAAAAATTTTCTTTTTTTATGAAAAGATAGAGCGTCTTTCGCTGCATCTTTCTATGCTATTTGATCAGTATTAAACTTATATCATAATAATAAAATTTCGATAAGAACTATTTTTGTTGAAAACCAGTTGGTAGCATTTAGATCATAATGGATGTGGTATTTTTGCATTCCACTTTATTATCACATAATATGTTGTGTTGAAAAAACAAAATATACCAAAAGGTGCAGCGTGAAAAGCTCTACGATTTATAAAGTACCGCTTATTTTATAGTTGTACTTTTTCTTTTCAAAATGGACAAAACTCTGAGTTACCAAGTTTCGACATGATGAAAACGAGACTGTTTTTTGGATAAAAAAGCGAATTCGGTTTTTTTCTATCTTATTTTTGTATCATTGTTCTTTGTAAATTGTAGAGCTCTTCACGCTGCATCTTGCAGTGTATTTTGCTTTTTAAAATAAAACATATTAAGTAATAAAAAAATGAGATAGAAAAAACGGAATTTATCCTTTACCAAAAAAACAATCTCGTTTTCGCAACGTCGAAATTTGATAGCTCAAAGTTTTGTTCATTTTGAAAAGAAAAAGTACAACTATAAAATAAGCGGTACTTTATAAATCGTAGAGCTTTTCACGCTGCACCTTTTGGTATATTTTGTTTTTTCAACACAACATATTATGTGATAATAAAGTGGAATGCAAAAATACCACATCCATTATGATCTAAATGCTACCAACTGGTTTTCAACAAAAATAGTTCTTATCGAAATTTTATTATTATGATATAAGTTTAATACTGATCAAATAGCATAGAAAGATGCAGCGAAAGACGCTCTATCTTTTCATAAAAAAAGAAAATTTTTCCAAGCGATCTATACCAAAACACAATATCAGGCTCACTACTTTTGGATAATCCTAAGTACTTTTGAAAGATCCCCCATGATTTTGACTGCTTAGGAAAACATTTGTAGAGTTTTACAAAACTCAGAAATCATCATTGATTAATTTCAGCTTAAAATCCTAAAAACTAGATGTACTAATTAATTTTCCAATGTCCCAAAAAAATCAATTACCTCAAAGCGAATCTTCTATTACAAGAAAGTAATTTAATCATAACATTTGTTGTACATGTCAAAACTATACTTTCCCTTTTTTTCAAAATTTACATCTTCATTTTTATAATTCATTTTATATCATTGAAAAATTATCTTATTTATTTTTTCATGAAGATTTTTTATTAATTCTTTTCAATCAACAAAAAAGAAAAAAAAAAAGAGGAAAAAAAATCATCTCTTGAGTTTTTGCTTCATAAACACTCAGACAAAAATTTGTATAGCAAAAGAAACAAAAAAAAAAAAAAACGAGTCGTCGTTATTGAGAATGTATGTATATATATATATATATATAGATAGTACCACAAATAGATACATATAAATTATCATCATCAAATTCAAAAAAAAGAAAATGTCAAATTAAAAACATGCTTACGAACAACAAAGAAAAGAAAAAAATAAATAAATAAACGCTAAGTTAAAAGCACTATTATTGTTGTGAAGAAGATGCAATTGTTGATTGACGATGCATAGTCTGTACCATCAAACTTATATATGATGTTAGAAGATCATCCATTTTATAACCCTTAGAAAAAAAAGAAATTATAAACATCATATATTAAATTACAAAATAAAAACTTACTAATGGGGATTCACATAATAAACGAGTACCTCGAACAATATCACCTACAGTCTTAAATAAAAAAAAGAGAACAAATAATTTTATTAAAAATAATATTTTTATTAAATTTTTTTACCATATTAAAATAAGTATTACCACTAGACCAATTTGAGATGCTAGTAAATGGATATGTAATTAATAAATCTTTGGATTTTGGATGAATTAAATTTACACCATTTTTATTAATTGCTATTAATAATTGTTCAGGATATGTTGGATCAGATGTTTGCTAAAAAGAATTTATTTAAAAAAAAAAAAAAAAAAAAATTTAAATTTCATACTTTCACTTCAAAAAATGCAGAACCAAATGTTGACCATTGATAAAGAATTTTAAGAAATTTTATTTTCGCATCTTCAGGTGGTAAATTATGTGATTCGGCATGAGCAGCAATAATTCGCTAAAAATTTAATATATAAATCAATAGAAAACAACAACAAAAAAAAACACTTCATTATTATGAAAGTTAGTACCTTTCGCCATTCAGCATACGGAAGTTTGTCGATAAGATCAGCCGGCAGGAAATCTTTTAATCTAAAATTAATAACTTTATGTTATTTTTTTAGCTGAAAAAAAAACCAAAGAATCAATTCGAATTAAGATGCCAATTCCGATTTCATTCACGATTGTACTTTTCTGATAGAACTTCAAAACTGGTTCATGCTAAAGAAGATTTCACTCTTTACTTTTTTTCCGTATTTCAAAATATGATGTATCGCTCATTTTTGCCAGGACGCAATTTGCATGGCAGACGAACATATTCAGTAACGACTTTCTTTTGATCAGAAATGATTGCATATCACTTAGAAAATCATTTTTAAAAAATGTTTATACTAACTGTAATGATATAAGACATAGAATAGAACATTCTGATACTTTGGATTGACACTAAAGAGCACGGATTTGTTTTACTAAGTTTACGAAGGAACCATTCGAAGTGACTCGTTCCTTTCGACTTCATATATTGCCCATATTCCACTACGATAACCGTGGGTATGGTTGTCGGTCCAAGCCGGTTTTCACGAAGCAAAGAGTTTTTTAAGAAAATAACGATTTTTTTTTAAATAAAGGTTGACGAAAGCAAATTGGATTCAAGGAATCCGAATCTGAAGTCGGTTTTTTGACTCGAGCTTTGATTAGTTAGAAATGATCTTTTTTTCCCTCGACTGAAGGAAGGGTAATATGAAGCAAATAAAGCTTGACAGGCTAATAGCCAAACACCGAAAATATTGAATTTACTCCAATGACTGTCAGATCACAAACTCATTTTATTTCATATGACCCTCCCTTCAGTCGAGGGAAGAAAAGCTCGTTTCTCATTGGTCCATTTTCTGACCAATGAAAGCTCGAATCGAAAGACTGACTTCAGATTTGGATTCCTTGACCCCGATTTACTTTAAAAAACCTCTTTCCATCGTGAAAACTGGCTTGAACCGCTAACCGTACCTACAATTATCGGTTTGAGCTGGTGAATGATCGTCACCTGTTGCATCCCTATATGCAACTTCGATATCTCCTAGAAGGAAGTACCTGAAAAATCTATCATAAAATTTTGAAATTTTTGGAGATCGTCTTAATTTTTGATTTCATTAGACTGAATTTTTCTCTTTCCATTTTGT